AGTTGTTTGGTCATAAAGTCAAGCTGTCAGACATGAGAGGAACAGTACATCGAGTCAAAGAAAACTGGACAAAAATTCAGAAAGTAATATTAGGAAGGGTTGGTACTATAGCTAAATAATGCACTCAAAACAATATTATCGTGCATGAACAAAGGACTCAGGCTGAAATGTCTGCACATATTAAATGTTGTATCTATACGTCACTGCGTGCAGACTTTTTTATTTCTGTATGAGCTGCTGTTTTGACTGTAATTCCAGCTAATTGATCAACGCTAGCATAACTGAACAACAGGATGACCTACAGGAAGTGCACATTTTGAACATGTAATGTACATACTGTGACTTTTTTCATGAGTCTATGATTTGAGGATTTGTCAAATTAGTTTTACAATTCTTTGAATGTGGAACATAAATAAAACACACCCACTATTTCAATCAAGTAACACAATTTTTCACAGCTGCTGAGCAGGATCAAAAACAGATTGAGATTTACAGCTGTAGACATCCTGAATCACAGAATGACTGAGTGTGCGCATATATATGGGTAACATCATATATTCTGTGTTTGCCAACAGTTCAGTGCCTAATATTAACTTGAAAGCCAAACAGACTGATGTTACTTCCCCCACAGTGGAGATTAAGGCTGCTCATCTCTATGGGAGCCAAGAGAGCTGAGATCACATTCAAGTAAATTCCTAAAACTGGGCTGAAATGTTTCATAAATGGGCTGCTAGTTTCCACATAATCTGCAACCTACTTCTCTGTGCCTGCCGTGGTTATCTGAAGCCGTGCACATTTGTGCATCAATGACAAAACAAACAGCTTCAATTAATTAGTCAATTATTCAGATTTTTGACTTTTTGATGATGCTTTTCCCTTGACATGCATTCACTGCTGCTGCATTACTGCAATTCTGTTAATTAATTAAGACATCGGGTACTACAAATGAATCTTCTCAGTTCTCATAAGCAGTCATGAACCTTCATTAACTATTAAAGAATGAAGACAGAGATTAACAAAAACATTAGTGCAATGCAATTCCTAAAATAATCTAAAAGAAAAAAAAACACCATAAAAAAACATGCATCAAATATTGTGTGGGTGCTTTCATTTTTTGCTGGTGCTTATTACTTTGACTGTGAAGACAAGCGCATGCTCCAACACTCAAGTTATTCTGATCTAGATTATCCTTCAGAGTCTTACATTACATTGACATTTAACATGTGCACTGATTCAGAACTTTAACTAGTCCACTCCACTACGTCCTCAACGTGACTGAGAGTCCTGCTGCTCTTCTATGCAGCGCTCAGTATGCAAGGATGACTGTGGCATGCAACGGTACAGTTTGCAGTTATATTTAGTTCACGTGATTCTCACGTCTAATGGACGTGCCAGTCTCAGCCACGAAGAAAACACTGTCATGAGGTGAGTATTCACAACAGCACTGTTTTCAGTGAAACACCATGCTTCGGTGGGCTGATGTGGGCTTCTTCATTCTCTTGTTTTAAATATAGCACGGGCTGTTATGTAACACTCCGGAGGATGCCACTAGTGCAGGCATGATTAGTAGATTGTTAGATACACCAAAACAATCAGTACTGAAGATCAAGGTTTGAGTAGTCTATTTTCGGCCCTAAGTGTTGTATTATTGTAATACAATCATTCATAAGTATTTTCGTAGTAGAACATAGCCTTCAAGTAGTTAAATCAAGCACTGCATACTGCACATTCTATACAGACAGCCCATAATGTATGTCTGATTAAAATAAGTGTCCAAACCTTTATGCATAATTCCTACGCCCTTACTTAAACACCATGCAAAAACAGAAATCTCTGGAAACCAACCAAGCATGCTCAATCTCGTAATTCTTTTGAGATACGTTAAATCAGTCTTTCACTCCTTTAACTCTGCAGCATGCACAGACCAAAGGAAAAGTATGAGAACATGCATGCATTCAAGGACCCTGTGACACCTTCATGTCTAATAATCTGGACAATGCAGAGACAGCATATGTGTGAAACAGCAAAAAAACAAACAATAACATTTGACTGAGTGCAGCTGACAAAAAAACATGCATGTATGAGACGACGAGGTTGACGTGGAGTCAAGACTCACTTTTTGCTGGTCTTCTTTGCTTTCGCCCTCTTCTTCCTAGCCTGGAGTGCCAGAACTGAAAAGAAACCAGAGACATTATTTTGCTATTGTCTGGCTGCCTTTTGATCTCCAGCTGACACTCGAGACAAAAAAAGATGAAACTGTCTGCGGAAAAGTACACAACTACCTCACCCTACAGCTCATAAACTAGGTCTTTGTGCATTATATTGTCTCATGTTTGCAACTACCAGGGTCTTAATCATAATTGCAGTACATATGTTAGTCTGACAGTCACCCAGTTGGATACTGGAACCCATCCAATGTTAACTTACATCACTAAGCTACCCACCTAGGTAACCGCTCCTTTAAAACACGGTAGTAGACACTTCAGTGGGTGGCTGGTTGCTTTAACAGAAGCTACATTCTCGCCTGGCTCCTGTTGTCGGTGTTTAAGTCTGTGTTTTAAATGGACGGAGCCGCAAACCACGTATCAAGCTAATCCTGACATGTCCCATTGAAGCTAAAGCTAATGTCTAGAAAGCTAACGTAGCTCGCTCCAGCTCAGTGCGTGACAGACGCGTTCAATTAAACCACCCTCTGAATGCATGCAGCTCGGCTAAAATGTACATTAGTGGCTGCATAGGAACACGGGCTGTGCTGTCAACCCACATACGGGCTAACATTGTTCACACAGTGTGCGGCGTGTCGCGTAAAGATTTACCTTTCCTCTCCATGTCGGCTGGATTCGTAGCCTAGCCGTTAGCTACACCACCAGTGATCGAATGTTCCACGCATGCGCACTTGAGCGTCTTGCTGAAGGGGAGCTTCCCCGGTGACGTCTGCACCTGAGCATCAAACCGTTTTTATGGATTTTACTACACTGAGCCTGCAGGCAGCACAGGCAGTGAGCAGCCTTATAAAGAAGCATTTTATCTCCTGCCGCTGATTGGACTGAGAAATCATGTCTTAACCTTTTACTTACTTTTACTGCATGACAAAGGCTAGTACTGCTGGAAGGCACTTCAACAGTGTTTAATGATCTTCCTGATTGGTGATGTGATTAAATGCTTGGTGCCCACATACTACAATTAAGCAAGCACATTAAGAATGTATTACATTTTTATGCTTATGACAATAAATTATTTTTATATTACAAGCAAGCTGACGATAGATGAGACTAAAATTCAAAATGGTGTACACAGAACAGCATTTTCAGGGTCAAATTAACAGGATCTGTTTTGGGCACTGGATTCTTAAGGCTGATAATCTTATAATCACATAAGAACATATTGTCCAGTTTTCTTATTTTTAGACATAAATGGACAGATCTTTTAACTCTTTGCGTTTCTTGTATAAAGGATGGATGTCCTGATGCACATACCACAATTCCACGGAGCTATGCTCATAAACAAGAGGTGAAATGAAGAATAAATAGAAAACTGATGCAATAAATTGAAATTACAAAGTTACACACAGTGCCCCAAAACTCCAAGCCAGTATACAGCAACTGTGTAACGCAGTCACCCCCTTTGGAAGTTTTTTTTCTGTCATTGCTTTTCAAAGTTCAGTGACGGTCAATATAATTTGGCGTTTTTTTAAAGCATGAATTCAACCAAGGGGCTGCAGGGTGGCGCAGTTGGTAGCACTGTTGCCTCGCAGCAAGAAGGTTGCCGGTTCGCGTCCCGGTAGGAGCACTGGAATCTTTCTGCGTGGAGTTTGCATGTTCTCCCCGTGCAGCATGGGTTCTCTCTGGGTTCTCCGGCTGTAGGTGTGAATGTGAGTGTGCTTGGATGTCTGTCTCTACGTGTGGCCCTGTGATAGACTGGCGACCTGTCCAGGGTGTCTCCTGTCTTCACCCTGAGTCAGCTGGGATAGGCTCCAGCCCCCCACGACCCTAGTGAGGATTAAGCGGTGTATAGATAATGGATGGATGGATGGATGGAATTCAACCAAAAAATAAAGACTCATGTCAAACAGCTTTCTACAAGGTAATAGTCAATTGATATAAAACATAAAACGAAAATTAAATAGACACCCTCTTCAAGTTAGTATTCAGTAGATGCTCCTTGCCTGAAATTACAGCATTGATCCTGTGTGGATAGTCCTTAGTCCACCTTGCACATCTGAACATCACTCCATTCTCCTTTGTAAAACTGTCACGCTGCACAGGGATTGAGAGTGAGCAGCTCTTTCCAAGTCCAGCCACAAATTCTCAATTTGATTGCGGTCTGAGCTCTGACTCGGCCGCTCCAGATCATTCACCTAATCTATAAACCATTTGTGTGTAGCTTTGGCTGCATGCTTTGAGTGTTTTTTTGTTTGTTTGCTGGAAAACAAATCTTCTCAAAAGTCATAGTTCTCTTGCAAACTGCACAAGGTTGTTCTCCAGGATTTCCCTATACTTTGCAGCATTTATTAACTCTCTGCCTTTGCAAGCTTTTCAGGGCTTGCTGCCAAGAAGCACCCTCACATCATGATGATGCCACCACCATGCTTCACAGTGAAGTTTGTGTGTTTGTGATCATGTGCAGTGTTTGGTGTCTAATTCATACAAGAGGAAAAACATGAAACATATGCTTTTCCTGATTCTGTCAAGAGGTATGATGAACACCTCAGTTAAATTGCTTTTTTAAATTACCATAAAAGTATAACATTGGCCTTTCTCATTGCAATTCCGTATTAGTTACTGGACAATGTGATGAAATGAAAATTTTGTTTTGCAAAGGTTAAAAAGAAGACATTGAACACATTTAGCGAAGTATTTTGAACTATCAAAATGCTGAATAAATATGTACAACACTTCGCTCTTGGTAAAATCTTGATTTACATTCTGATCCTGATTTACAGCAAAACCCTCAAAGGAGGAGAACAACCAATTATTTTGGAAATAAAGACATAAAACATATCAGTCTCTTAAAAATAAGTCTTTATTTTGTTAAACAAAGGACTGAAGATAGTAGTTACTCTGCAAGACTGAAAATAGTTTAAGGGATCTTTCGATTGTTGCTTATAAATACCACCTCCACAAAGTATAAATACAAATCCCTCTTTTACACATATAGCAGTATTTCTATTACAGGTTATAGCATGACACTTAAAAGCCCTGTAAACCAACAACACACCTGCAGACGCACACAATGTCTTTACGTACATGCTAACAGTGATTGCCTCTTAACATAACCACAAGGAGTCAGATTTAAAAAATATGGCACAGATATTTACATATTTTGGAGCAGAGCATGTACCATGAATTTTTTTTTCCTATTCAGGTGCCTTGTTAAAGAGAATTATCCTTAAACAGTAGAGGCTCAGATTTTTCCCTGTGAGAGTCTCACAGGGCATCTAAACTATCAAAAAAAACATTAAAATGTGTGAGATTCAGGTGTTGAGCACTACAAGTCAGTGACTACACAGAACAGGCACATTCTCAATTTATCAAATATCTAAAAACATAAAATCTACTTTTGTCACAGATTGAAACTCTCAAAAGTTCTCTCTTTTTAAATACAAGAAGAATTATGGTGATAACTAATGCATTTGACCCTGCGCTGTACGTGACAGCTTGGCAGGATGAGTGGTAAACTAGCAAACTCCTTTTTAAACTGATAGACAAAAGCTTATTCATAAGTTACTAAACAGGAAATTTAAAACACAAAGTAGCACAGCTATAGGTCCGGGTGTTTCAGCATCTCAGTGTCACAGTGACGAGTCAAAGTCTAAATTTTAAAAAAATCTGAAGAATATAAAATTATTTCAGTTGTTGACAAGAAGCGACATTTCCCAGCAACAGACCATCAACATTAGTGGTTCATATATAAGAATAATGATAACTGGTCATGTTTTCCTTTTCCCGTGCTGGGAATGATCTCCTTACAAGAGTTAATCACGGACAGAGATTTCTTGATTAGCGAAGACTGACAAAGGTTGACTAGCAGTCTTACATGTGTCTGAGAGTTTGTTAAACACCAATGCGCACATTAAATTGTATCGGAGGCTGGGGTCGAAGTGGCACATCTCATTACTCCATGTCATCCTCATCAAAGATAGGCGGCTCAAAACTACACACCTCCTCGTAGGTTAATCCTGCAAGAAATTTAAAAAGGTCATGAAATATAAATACACATCAGGGTGCTTCTCCTTATCAGAGAGTACATCGTATCTTGTTTTGCATTTTAAGACAGAGGCAGCATACTTTTCCACTCTTCAATCTCCAGTTCTCGGCTCTCAAAGCTCTGGTCGTACGGCTCAGCCTCAGGCTCGTCGTCTGGGTCGTGGTACTGCGCGAAGTAAGGGTGGGCCAGAGCCTCAGCCGCTGTTATCCGTTTGTCTGTATCCAGAACCAGCATTTTCTCCAGAAGATCCACAGCTGAAATATGTGTAAACACAACTGAATTGCAAGCAGTCTGTGCTCCATTTGAAAATCATAGTGTCCTGTCATGTCAAGTCGTAGTCTTAAATTCGGAGGAAAAATTGGCAGTTAGTAGGGTTTGCACTACAACACAACACAACATGTGTTGAGAAAAGCCTGTCTTTCTCTGATATTACCTTGTGGGTTTGCACCAAGGAATACATCAGCAAAGTTCCTCTTGGGCATGTTTGGCAAGGAGCTGATGTAGTTCCTGGCCTGTGAAAATACATCAACACAGTAAATCAAATGCCAGCTCCCACTAGTAGCAACATGCCATGACACATTATTTCATGCTACTGATTCTGTTCAATGCAGCAACCTGATTGAAATCATCACTGCTCAGTTATTTTATTTCCATCTACAGCTAGGACTCTACACCGTCCCATAAGCCTGAATGTATATTAATACTTCACGGGTTATATATGTTGGTTTTAACCCTCAAGCATTCTGTGGCACACTGTCATGACCCCATGCACCCAGAGGTTGCTGTGTCCTCATGAAGGACGACAAAAGTTACAGCACAAAACAAAAAAATAAAAAATTTTATGAAAACTTATTTGTGAGGAAATTTTTTTAGATTCGTTTGTCTGTTGCCACAGTTTGACTGTCTCTGGAGAGCCACAAGCAGTGAGAAATGCTTTTGACAGCTATATGTACCTTGTAGCAAATGACTGATTGACTGCCCAGACGTGTTGCCTAGCAACAGTATGACATCCTAATGTGACTGAAATCGGAACAGTTAGACAACAACATGTTTATGTTGCAGAAACCATTTCTTTTTAAAAATAATTCATAATAAAACAATGAGCCCTAAGCATCCTGTAAGATACTCTACTGTCCTTGTCTCATGTGTTTGAGGAATGCGTTTGACAATATAAATCCTTATGTTAATTTAGTTATAATTTTCCTGATAATAAACCACTTGGTGTAAAAGAAAAGCTTAGTTCGTAGAGAATTATTCAGTCAGTTAGAATTAAATTTACACAAAACCATGTTGAGAGAAGCAAGACGGCAAATTCCAAGAGAGAAAGCCAAAAGTAAACCACAGAAGAAAGAATCTTTTAAATGCTGTTAGTTACTGTGTCACAAACAATCCGATGTGCTACTGCGCACAATGTGTACACACAATTACTATGATTACACTGAAAAGCAATCTTAAACACCTTCTTGTTTCCCCCAAGATGCCTTGCTCCTCTTTACCCCCAATTTAACTTGAAGTAGTCTGAGTAATGCGGCCATCCTTAGAGCTTAGCACTCTCTTTAGCGTGGCCATGAACATTCCGTGTCTCTACACTAAAGGTAAAGGAACGACTGACTGTACCTCCAAGGTTGGTCAATTTAAAGATGTGTTAGTACAGAGAACTGTCACGTTTTGGGGTACCCCTAAACAAAAATGCAGGGGCAAGAGCTGTATAGCAAGCCTGACTGTCCTCCCGCCCCGGCCTGCTAGCTAAAGAAACCAACTGCTCACCTCATGACTGGGCATCCTGCTTATTAGAGATGCTGGGGGTGTTCCTGTCAGACGCATTATCTGCTGAAGCTGGTTTATATCTATGAAGCTTGTGTCAAGGGGAGTATAGCGACAGAGCAGAGTTGGTTAAGAAGGTGTTTCTCAACCTAACACTGTGTGGCTAAACTTGAGGTGCACTACAATGTTATGTTGAAAAGCAAACTTCAAGCTTTGAAGCAAAATGTGACAAAACAGTAAAGAGGAGGCCTTGTGAGATTTAGAGTTAAGAAACAACACAACAGTCTTCATTACAATCGAGCAGTGAAAGTCGGTGTTCACAATAAGCACACAGCACACACAATATAATTCACTCATTTAAAGGTCCCATATTGTCCCCCTTTTTAATAAAAAGTTTTAAGCAAGTCCACAGTGTCCACACCCCCTTCAGGAAGACTTCTCTGCATCTGTAATTGACAGCGCAGATTAAAACATTTGACCACACAGCAGCCGACACAAAGATAACTAAATGTGTGAAATCAGAACTCTCTATCACTTCAACTGTTTTCTCTGAGCGATCATGTTACATGTAAATACAGTGATGCAGTAGTGAATTCAAATTTTAGTGGTGCAGAGCGGCAGCTAGGAAATGGGTCTGAAGTGAGTGAATAGTCTTAATAGGCTGCATTTTAGTCACTATTTCATCCCCGCTCTGTTGTCTGACAACAGAAGCGTAAAAACGGAAATGAGAATTTGGCTGTAATAAAATGTGCAAACGGAAAGCAGGAGAGAAGTAAACAGGTGACTGACACGGCTGTTTTTTGGTTTCACTGAAGACCAACAGGTAACATGAAAACACAGCTATCAGTTTTATGATTTCTACAGAGCTCTTGCCACACTAGTCTCACAATGTGTTTACACTAAGGATTCTCTTATTGTTGTGGTGACACTACAGTTGTGTTGACATTCAGTTCCTCAAGTGTTGGGAATGCACAAAGACACTTATGTTCACTCTTGCAGCCAACAGCAGAACAGCTGGTGTGTTTTTCTCATGGCTGAGACATTTAAAAATTTGCAGAAGCATCTCGCATGACCTGACAGACTACACAGAAACTGGATTACATTTTTACTGACTTGGCTGGAAGGTCAAGGGGGAACTTGATGAAAGGAAGTAAGCATCTTCATGTAGTCGCAGCTTTAATTTTATGTTTATAAAACATACAGATAACATTGATAACAGATTTTCACCACGTGGGACCTTTAAAGAGGAAGAAAGCAAGTGTCAAACCCACAAAGACGAAGAATGGAAAACATGCCATGAATTAGAGAGCAGATACATCAAGCCGAAATCTGGTTAGAGAAAAACCTTGCATAGCTTTGAAAACTCACAGACTCTGAAGATATTTTCATCAAGAGCTCTGGCCCTGGTGTTCCGACGAGCAGCATGATTAACTTCAACTGATCAATGTCTACCAGCACACGGTAAAGGAAGACCAGATGCTGGATGAGGGAAAACTTGTACTCTGAACTCCTGCACTTGTATAATTTAAAACCCATGTGTGATAACCAGTTTTATTATCTTCACTTTAAATTTCACACAGAGAAGAAAAGAAAAAGCGTTTGAAATGTAACCTGTAGAGAATGCAGAATGAATGTGTAATAAGAAAGGGAGAGAAAGATAAACAGAACTGTAAGTACAGATACAGCAGATTGACTGGCCGTAGTGCAAGAAGAAAGTGGACCTGAGCCAATGATGCACACTAACAAGGTAGGAGGAGCTGAAGAAGAAAAAGGCGAAACTGCTGAAGATGGTAAATGTCAAGCCAGAGGGAAAGTGGAAACAGGTACAATCAGTGTCACATTTTTAATATGAAAACGCCTCAGGCAGCTTTATGTTGGAAGAGGGAAGCAGAAAAGCAGGTTTTCATGAGAGGGCAGAGAACAGAAGCACTGCAGAACATCTTCCACTGTGCTGGCAAAAACATCACTAATCGCTACTGCTATAACAACATCAACATCTGTTTAACTTGTTTGATTTCTTCTGCAAATTGTGTGTCAGAATCACAGCAGCTATGAGAGCTCTGTACATACACTATTGTTGCACCAACCCACCAGAACAAATTCCTTGTATTGTGTAAACTATACCTGGCAATAAATCTGTTTCTGATTCTGATACTGAACTCTCAAATGAAAAGGATACGGTCAGTTCCAGGAAACAGGGTTTTTCCAGTGAGAAGTTCTGCCATTATACATCCAACCGACCAAATATCCACTGAAACACAAACGTCACAATCAACCTGTCAAACAAGTCCTCTACCAAGGCATAAAGATGCATTACAGTAAGAGAGAAAGATTAAAAGAAGCTTCTTTGTCATCACCTGTCATGTTGTAATGCATCCAGTTCAACATGATCTCTGGGGCGCGGTACCAGCGTGTGGCCACGTAGCCGGTCATCTCGTCATCCGTGTGCCGTGCCAAGCCAAAGTCCAAAATCTGAGAGCAATTTAAGTGCAAAAAGGCAGCGTTGTTGGCAAAAAAAAGTCACATCTGCAGGCAGACTTCATGAATGTTGTTTTAAATAAGAGCAACAGTCCACTTACCTTCAGCTCACAGTCTTCATTCACCGCCAGGTTACTAGGTTTCAAATCCTAAAGGGAGGAGAATGTGAATTAGTGTGACTTAAGCTTAGGTGACGAGTGCTGTGGAAAGACAGTAAATCTCTTATATTAGTCGGGAGACTTTTGTAACTTCTTATGGATGAAAACAAATCTTGTCCTTTTGTTAACATGAAATTAAAGTGTTACATCCTTAACACAGTGTAAAGGTAAGGTTTAATGACTTTCCATCCATTGAGTGTTTGCACAAACCTGACTAGGCCAAGTGGATTTTGGAAAACCTGACCCACATTTTTACCCCTAAATGGGGTCAAAGCCACAATGACATTTGTCAGACATAAATCAAAAACAACACTTACTCTATGAATGATGTCTGCTGAGTGGATATACTGCAGAGAGACAGAAAAGCATGTGTGCATTAAATTACAGCATCAGTTTAAAGAAGTTTTAATGTACCACAAGAAAAAAAGTCAGAGGCACCAGGATGAAAAGTATAAACCTCTGATCGTATTAGGAATACTGGTAGAATAGGTGTTGCCGAGAGCTAGATAAGAGGACTGATACCATTCTCACATTAAAATATGGAGCTACATTCAGGCCACAGTTAGCTTTTCTTTGCAGGAAACAGGGGAAAAAGGGTGGCAGCATCTTAGCCTGGCTCTTTCCAAAGGCAAAAACATCTGCACCTTTAAAGCTCAAATAATGACATGTAATATTTTGGTTCTTCAGTAAGTATAAAAACCAAAGTGTGAAAAACGCTGTGGTTTTACAAGTAAGCTATGTGCCCGAGTATTAAGTTTTACCACGAAGGGGGGGTTTAAGGACACAATGCTGAGCCATGAGAGCTGCCAGCTGTTGAGTCGCTCCATCTTGTTGCAAATGATTTTACATTGCACTGCACAGAAAGAAGCATTTTACCTGAACCGCCGCAAAGCTCTGTCAGCTCAGTGATATTTTGCATCCTATCAGTTTGTCAGTACAAACTTTTAGTGTGAAGCAGCAGCAGCAGGAGAGGTTCAGTAAAAATCAGCAGTATCCTAATACAGCTGAAGACAATCAGTAAACAGTGAAATACGGCTCTTACCAGAACGTACACACGGAAACACAGGAGTGAAACTAAGCTCCAGACCGCAGAGATTCAGACAGAAACCACAAAAGTGCAGAGAGACTTTACTAACAGAGTTTGAGGATCTAGTACACTTTCGGGATCAAGGACAAAAGGGAAGACTGGCACAGGTTGTCTGTTTGTCCCCACGTCACAGTGTAACTAAAGCCCAATGATCTCCACTGACGGTAAAAGCCTGTATTTCTTGTCCAGGCATAATGGCCTTTGCTTTTCTGGTCGTCGCTTTGAGGTTACCAGTCAGTCAGTAGAGACTTCCAGATTTCAGTTTTTATTGCTGAGCTACGCAGTTATGAGAGTGGCATCAATCTCGTCATCAAACTCTCGATGAGGAAGTGAACATTTGCCAAAATGTAAAACTACTCCCTTAACAACCTCACCTTTAACCCTCGGAGAATCTGGTATATGAGGAACTGCACGTGGTCATCTGTGAGCTTTTGACATTTCACAATGTTGTTGAGATCTGCCCCCATTAGGTGAGTGACTAGATACCTGCAAATCACAAAAGATTAGTTTAAAAAAAACACACACACACACACACACACACATTTCAGAAGGCATACCAATGTTTTCTCATTTCATAAAAACCCAGATGGGCAGAAAATGAATATATTTGTACTTCCTAACTAATTTTTCCAGAGATGTTTGCAGTCTGCAACTAATTTCCCATATGGCTGTGTGAGCTTAAACCGGTTTAGCTACTACATCTTTTCACTCTCACTTCTCTACAGAGGCACTAAAAGGCCAAGCCCTTCACAAATGGAATGTCATTTAACAACACACCCCAGATAAATGGGCTTAATGGTACTGCATCAGTGGATAATTCAAATCTAATCCGAAAGCTGTTCAAAAGGGCCAAACAGCACTTATGGAAGAAGGCAAGAGCAGGATGCTAGAGTGGCAGTTTTGGAGCCAAAACTCACAGCGCCATGTGCTGCTTCGACAGTCTGCTGCTCAACAAATACCCATTTCATGAATACCCTTCTATTCTCACACAGTACAGCGACCGAGGGCTTAAAATAGCACCTGGTTACACTTGAACTTGTTTTCAGCGGCACACACAGGGACACAGACACTCTCAAAAGTTCACCCGCCTTGGAAAAAAAGGCGTATAAATAAGTGACCTATGTTTTCCTCTCTCCTATAGGAACAGGAGCACGGCTCAAGCGCTGAGGATTTTCAGCCACTGTGCTGTGACTCAGTTTGTATTTTTAGAGTCGAGGGGAAGCACACTTACAGCACCTGCATATCTGAGATTTGTATTTGATATTGCACTGTATAAAGAACCTTTTCAATGTTCTAGCAGATAAAGATCAAGCTGTCTAACCCACTTATTCACTTCCCCACTGAAGTCCACTCTCAAGCAGTCGATACGTGTGACCTTGTATTGCCTTCAGTCCTACATGACATTATGCTAATCTTGGAGGAGGGTGGAGCCTCTTGAGAGGACAGCTCTCCATTTCAGTACACAGAGCCACTTCTGCTCAAAGTATGAGGACAATGTCCAGTATTACTGTTCTAATTAGGGATAGATTGCAATTCTGACAAACTGTGCACAACACTCCAGCAATTTAGCATTGTGCAAGTTTACCACCGTCAGACCGATACGGAACTCAAAACTGATCAATGAGAACCACAATTCTTGTCTTTACCACACATCTGACTGCCTTGCTGGGTTTTGGCAAGGAAGTCAAATGTGTGGCAAGACAAGAATTCCCACAATGCAGTATAACCGCTGTCAGTGTACTCCAGATTTTGGCGTGCTACGGTGCATGAGGCTAACGTAGCATTGAGCTGCTAGCCCCAAGCAGAGTTGAGAACTATTAGCCCCAACCAAAAAGGTTTAAACACAACTTTTTAACATAAGCAGCAGAACTCAGCAAGACCTATAAAGCTTAAGATCGCAAAAAGATCTTAAAAATAATTCAGAAATATATCATTTTTTCTACAACTCACTTTCATGTCATAAAAAAACAAAACATGCAGCACACTGCACGATAGAAAGTAATACAGGGAAATGACTGATGAAAACGCACTACGCCCCTCTGAATGCACCACGTCTGTCTCTGTCAAAGGCCTTTTTCACACTTTACATTAAAATGTATCTTGAGTGATCTGACTCAGGAAGGCTTGAGACCACAAATTTAATGCAGCGTGGATGCAGCGTTTCCTGCAATGTTTTACAGCAGGGGTGAACCCAACACCACCTCTGCTAACATAATACACAAATAAAATTCTTCATGACCTCCAGAGGCAGAATGTAATACGTCATAAACAGCACTGTGCAATTTTTAGGCACTACAAGTCAAGGATACTCAAATGAGGTAGGCTGTAACACATATCTTGTGGATTTAAACTGTCTCAGTTATTTCTGTCTCATCATATAAACCCGGACTGACCTTATGATGTTGAGATTAGAGCTTTGTGGCTCTATTGCAGGACTCCTTGATCTCTAAATGTCCCATATTGTGCCCCTTTTCAACAAATTAAAGTCTCATGTACCTCCAGAATGTGTTTTTATTTTATCAGTTGAACATACAGCAAAGATGATTCATTTCACTATGACTGTATAATCTCTGGTTTTACCTAGTTTTAAACGGGCTGTTTCAGTTTCTGCATCTTTTAATGCAGCTGGGTCACTGCTGACCACGCCCCCTTCACGAAGAAGACGTTCTCTGCATCAGTGACTGTGTGAAAAACGGTTGAATGAACGGCAGTCTACAGACATAAATGACTTTGAGACCAGGACTTTCTATCACTTTTAACTTTCAGAGTGATTATTTTACAGATAGATAAAATTCATAGCACACTAGCCTTCAACTCATGCGTACAGTAAGTTGGTCAGACAATGTTTTGGATATAAAATCAGTATTTTAGCAGCTGCTTGAAAATTAATATGAAGTGACTGCTGGTGAACATGTAGTCTTCATGGGCCAGCTGAGTTTAGGTTGCACAGAATCACACAGGTGATATGGAAACACATTAACCCACAACACACGAACACTAAGGATTTTCTTATTGCTGTGGTGACACTGCCAGCAAAAATTAAAGCAATCTGGATTTTCAGTTTCTCAGATGCTGGGAGTGCATAAGGACCCTTAGGTTCACTCTTGCAGCCAAGAGCAGAACATTTAATGATCTTTGGTGGAGGCTTAGACTTTTTAAAGTTAGCATTAGAGGTTCTAGCAGCAAATGAATCTGGTGGACTATGAGTCAGCTGCTCGTGCTGATTGGTTCATCTTGTAAGTGAGGAGGTGGATTGTGCAAATTATTGTCTTGATGACTACTGGTTCCTTAGTTTCTACATAGAAACTGGAAAAAAAAAAACTTGAGCTGTCTTTTAAAACAGAACAGAATACTTTGTAAGTCCCACAAGGGGAAAAGTGACAGTAAGAAAAGCAAGAAAACAACTATATATTAAAGAGGCTAGGTATATACACTATATATACACAATATAAATAAGAAAAACAAAAAACCACAAGGATACCAGGAACACAAACTTAAGAATATTTACACAGGCTGTGTAGTTTTGGAGGGGCTTGAGGAATAATAGGAATAAGCACCTTCACACTTTCACCATACACACATTCAAAACACAATAACAATGTTTTTTCACCATATGTGACCTTTAAGATTCTGGCTTTGAGTTTGTCATATGCTTCCCTGATGGCATCATATATAAGAAACAAAACATCAAAAGAGGCTGAAACTTTTACACAATACTGTATATGCATGTTCTCTGGTGAAATAAAACATCACTTAAGAAAATAGAGCACAGATATTATTCCACACAGACTACGCCATATATTTATGAGTGCGATTATTGTTTAGACAGCTACCTCCCAACTGAATTAATCATGAGACAACAGTAAGCCAGCATCTGAGTGTCCTACTAACTCAGGTAAACAATTACCTGGGGAAAACCCAACACACTCACAGGTTGCCTAATAAACTTATGAATAATCATGTGACAGAAGTAAAGTCCTTGTACGACAGGTTGTCCTCCTGTATGACTATTAAAGGTGGCTAATTTCCTATTAAGCAGTGATTGCAGTTTCTCACGGTTACAAATGCGGCAGCACTGTGGTTTCTCCACAGAACTCAAAAAAAACCCTGAGTGTGTGGTCGTGGGAGTTTACACATACACTGAAAGTTAGATATTACAGCAACAAATAATGATGAAGTCGGTTTCTGGGTGCTGCATTCCCCATTTCTCTTGAAGAGTTAGCACGAGTCAATAATTTCTTGTTATGCAAGAATGTACTAAATGCTAAATCGCAAATGAGTTAAAGACACCATCTAATGCAGGACTTGCAGCATTTAATCTTAATGTAAGTGCAGAGAAGAGACAGAATCTGCCACACATGACAGGCGAGGCAGCACGCATGTCTGAGGACTGAGTCACAGTCTCGCTGTCCACTTCCCATTTCTAACAACTTTCAACATCAACAAAGAATAACTACCTGTTTGCCAGTAGCAGAGCAGCTATACTATGTTTCACAAAACCAGAATCCAGGAAACAAAAGGAAGGAAGGAAGCTGGTGATGAAATAACTCTTGTAGCAGCCAGAGAGTGAATAACTAACAGACTGGACGGTCTAAAAAATGTTCCAGTGTGTTTAGTCTGCTGGCCTGCCTCCAGGTGTTTTCCAGCAACTGTTAGGATTGTCTGCTGCCGAGAAACTAAGGCTGCACTTCTTAACATTGCTGCTGTGATGCTTCCAGAGGGAGAAGGGCAAGGACAAACATGGGATTCATGTAATTCACTTTAAACAAGCACATTTAACTTACACATCGGTGAATTCCTTCAGACACGTAGCAGGGGTGAAGACATCTAAGAGGCCAATAACCTGCAAAAATAGGAAAATCACTATCAAATTAAGAGCACAAAGAATGTACGGCAGCAATTAAAACATTTATTAAACTGCAGATTGTTGAAGCAAACATTATGAGACACTGGATTAGCAGGGACAAAAAAAATGTCATTTTGTTCTGCTTGTTCACACCAGGCAGACCAGAAGAGGGAAGAGAAACAAGTCCACTTACATTTTCATGCTTCATATGCTTAAGCAACCGCAGCTCTCTGTATGTTCTTTTGGCGTGGATGATGGACTGAAATGGCCGAGACAGCTTCTTCACAGCAACCTTCAAAACCGCCTTTATATCATATGCAGAGCTATAAAAAAAGAAAAAGGTGGTATACATGAGGGCTTGAGAAACGTGACCATAACCAGCTCCTTAAGCATGATTTAATGAATAAAACCTACAAAACCTACAAGTGGCAAACAGTTATTTACATTTCAAACTAGAAACTAACTTTAGAAAAAGAAATTTGGTTCTTCTAAGTAGATAAACTAAACTGTTTCATATGGCTCAGAAAAGGCGTTTGCTCTCATAACCAAATTAGGCACAGTAAGAAGTGCTGAAGGCTGGAAAAGGGCGACATCAGCAGAAAATGTCATCTCTCAGCAGATTGGGAGCAGCTCTGGCTGCAGTCTGTCCTCCCCTCAGAAGGCTCACTGTCTCTAACCCAAAACCAACACTTCCTCCTGCGCAGCTCACCTGACCATAGTCACAACTAGTGCACAGCAACACGGCAACATCACCAGGCATGAAAGGTGCGTTTACTATAAATTTGAGTTTAAATGTGTTGAAAAAAACATGCGTCTTTACAAAAAAAAGTCTACAAGATTGGAAATGTAACAAAAGCCAAATCATAAATATGAAGAATCCTATAAAGATAAATGTTCATTCCAGAGAGACAAACTGAGAGTTAAACTTCAAAAATAGAAATCCGTTATCACAGAGGAAAAATGATCTCCCTTAGTCCTGTGGCTCTAAAGCAATTATATATTACATTAATATATACTGAGTGCGTTGACAGTGCCTCATCTTTTCTACTTTAATAACTGAATACGAGTAATATTGTGGCTCAGTTACTACAGCAATTAGCCCATTAATCACAGAGGCAATGTTTCAGTTCCTGGCTGCTTCTGACCACGACCAGATCTGTCAAAAACATTGAAACCCAAACTGTTATTATTATTATCAGGCTTTGTCGCTTTTTTGACATTGACGTGGGACAAGAAGAAACAAATTGTGCAAACACTTTGGATAAAAACACTAAATATTG